CCCCAAAACCCCAAAACCCCAAAACCCCAAAACCCCTGCTTGATGAAAGGCTCAAGAAATATTGTCAAAGAATATTGCTCAGGGATGTCACTAAGCAATTTTGCATTCTACTGAAGGTTACTAAAGTGCTTGACTCTCTTGTTCTCATGGTGAAATATCATATAATTCTCTAAGTTCTCATACAATTCCTTGTCATCAATCATCAATTGGTGCAACTCCTGTGTGAATATTAATCTAGAAATATTCTCTGTCATCTCTTCATACTTGTGTTGCTTAGCCTTGATGGAGTAAAGCTCGTTTAGCATTTCTTGTTCTTGACGAGCTTTCTTCTTTACTTCTGTAATGATTTTTCTTGCCTTCTCAACTCGAGCAACTTGTTGGTAGTGATAATTTGTTGCAGGGACAAAGTTACATTTAATATCTCAGTCTATGTCTCAATTTTCCATCGGTGTAGTTTGGCTGATTTTAACCGTATTTCAACGAGCTAGTTTGAGAGATTTCTTCATTTTAAAACCAGCAGAAGGGATATGTTTCTGAGAGTCATCCAGAGAAGATCTGAGGCTACTTATAGGCGAGAGATTTACATTCTCTTTATCAGCATCAAAATCTTTGGTTTCTTCTATTTGATCAACTTGATCAAACTCTAACTCATTATCAAATGAATTTTCATCTTTGACATTTACCTCAGTTATCATCTCAGTCTCTTCAGTAAAGGTGTTTTGTAGCTTATGCACTATCTGATCAATTCCTTGTGAGTAAGGAGTGTAAAGATCTTCAAGCTTTAGTGTGACTCCATATCTCAAAGCTCTTCAGAGTAAAGGAGGCTCTGGACCGAGTAAGTAATTGGGTTCAACAAACTTGAGCTTTTCTTCCTTGAAATTATAGAACATCCTATCTTTCGTCATCTCTTCTCAAGTAGTCTTCCATATAAGGTGTTCACCATTCCTCGTCAGATTGTAGATGATGGAGTCACTGAGCTCATAGTAAATCTCTTCCATCTCATTCAAGCTTGAGACTTGGTTATGATAGTTCAAAATAATTGGCTTCACGTAATTGCTAATTGCCTGCTCTATATATGACTTTATCAATAATGGGTAAAACTCAAGGCAATAGTCTAATCTATCTTTGTAATCTTGTAGGTTGTATCACTCAACAGCTAGCTGAAGCATACCCAGATGAATTATCATGAAGCATGAAACCAAGTCTATTGATAGGTGTGCTGACTTATAAATCTCTGAGTGGGGTTCAGAGATAACCAAGAATAACTCTTCACAAACAACAAAAGCAGAGTCAATCCTTGACTTTCTTAGTTCTTCATCGTCGGTCCCATAAATTACCTTATTAAAGATATTTTTAATAACAATGAATTGAGACTTGAAGTCTTTAAGCCTTAAGTCGAATATTTTATTGGTAAACTCTTTCTTGACTCTTCCAAGGCTTTGTTCCATTTTTCTCATCATTTCATCATGTTTTTCTCCTTCTAGGACAACATCCATTGTGGCGACACCCATCCCAACAATTTGGACATGCCAGAGAATCTTTCTTGTTATCAAAAATGCTTTCTGTAAAGCATGGCTAGAGTGCTCTTTTATCTGCTCTTTCTTCTCAAGATATACTTTGTTTTGTAATTCACGAAGATTTCAGCCTATTGAGTCAAAATGAGAAGTAAAATCCTTACCTTGATTATCAATATCAATGAATTTGGGCTGAAGAACCTCCCCCTCATCACAAATAGTGAGATCATTCTTGATCAATGAAATGTTTAGGATAGACTTTAGGATTTTGTCTATATCAAAATTGGGTCTAACAAAGGTATCCTCTAGTAATCTATGCGCCCAGATGTATCCCCATTCATCAAGGCTTTCCCTGAATTCTATATTTTCAAAGGGTTAGCCTAATTCAGAGCTCAACTTAAAAAGCGAAATTAAAATAAGCTGTTAAATATAACGAAAAATTAAAATTCTCTTACCAAATCTCCCATTTAAGAATTCCTTCGGTCCTTGAGCGAAATTTGAAAACTGTTCGAGATCAATGTCTGAGATAACAGCTTGAGTTTTTGGTCTGTCAACTTTCTTACCAACGGTCTTATATAGGGATTATTTACTATTTCGAAGAAAACTCACCTTATTTCCCATTAATTTACAGTTATTTCAATAAGTTTCCATGAAATTGGGGTTTTGGGGTTTTGGGGTTTTGGGGTTTTGGGG